GGCTGCTTTTCTGTCTTCGAGCATGTTACGTCTTCAGCTCCCTTCCCTCCTCAACACTCACAGAGGCCCTGACCACCGCGCGGGCCCTTGCATGCTCATCAACTCAGGGCCCTGTGCAGGGACGCAGAGTCGACCAGTAAGACGGGCTGAGGAGCACAGTGCTGAGCTCATCGGAAAAAGCAACGCGGCAGGTTCTCCCCGCCGCTATCACAGTATGATCTTCAGCACGGGTGACAAAGACTCCCCGCAGTGGTACTCTTGAAAGCCCCTCTCTTCCAAAATGGGTATTGTTGGGGCTGGGGATTTAGCTCAGCGGCAAAAGCACCTGCCTGGCAAGCGCAAGGTCATGAGTTCGGTTCCTGGTACCAGAGAAAAACCAAAAAAAAAAAAAAAAACAACAAAAAAAAACAAACAAAATGTGTATTGTTTTGTTTCTTATTGTAATGTATGTATTCTAAGCCCCAGTAAGGAAGATAAAATAGGAATTATAAATCAGCAGGAACAAAAGGTTTGACCCGAAACAAAAATTAAAAAGGAGCTGCTGGTTAAAAGTACTTACAGCTGGGTGTGGTGGCGCATGCCTATAATCCCAGCGCTTGGAGGCTGAGGCAAGAAGATCCTTGTGAGTTCAAGACCAGCCTGGGCTACAAAGCAAGCTCAAGGTGAGCCTGAACTGCATAGCGAGACCTTGTCTCAAAAGAAAGAGAAAAACAAATATAAAAAAATGAAAGTATTTTTAAAAACGCTGTCCTGGCTCTGACCCATCTTCCTCAGACAGGAAGAGGCCGAGGGGAACTGCTGGTGACAGTGACTGTGGTGTCCCGCCGGCGCTGCTGCAGGAGGAAGGATGGCAGGTGCCGCCCACTTGAGAATGGCCACCGGGGCTGGGGATTTAGCTCAGCGGCACAGCGCCTGCTCGGCAGGTGCAAGGTCATGAGTTCGATTCCCGGCACTGGAAAAAAGCCAGAAAAAAGCCCCCAGCACCCTCAAAAAAGAGAATGGCCGTGCTATGGATCTAAGAGTGGAGATCCTTCACCCGAGGTCCAGTTGCTTACAGGACTTATACAGAAGCTGTACTGTTGTACATGCACACGGCCGGACACAGGCCCCACGCATGAAGAGTTCAAAGAGTTTGACTTCAGACTACGACTTCTTGGGCTGGGCATGGTGGCGTCCACCTATCATCCCAGCGCTCAGCAGGCTGAGGCAGGAGGATCACAGTGACTTTGAGGTCAGCCTGGGCTACAGAGTAAGACCGTTTCAACAAACAAACAAACAAACAAAACACCAAACAAAAACAGTAATAGCTCACAGTTTGGAAGGATTTCAGTAATAATCAGAGTCCATGTGCCATAAGCTTTAGTTGTGACCGTCATTTTCACAATTTCATCCACTTAATATTTTCCCGTAAAATAATTAAATTTTTAAGATTTAGCTGTATTTATTTTAAAAAGAAACGTGTGTTATGCCCTATGAGGAAGAAAACCACAGCAGTATCTCTTGAGAGAGGATGATATTGGAATAAATGTGTAAGAATCCACAGGAAGTCTGTCAAGGTCTCCTCTCTCCCCTTGGTGGGGCGTGGGTGTACATACGTGGCTGTAATCCTAGCTCTTCAGAGCTGGGGCAAGAGAGTTGCTTTGAGTTTCACAGGGTCTCTACATGTCGATACTGTCTAAAAAAACCCACAACCAAAATAAATAACTAAACACCTCTCCTTCACCTCAGCCTGGTGAGGTGGGTGTTGTCATTCTCCTTTCACTGATTGGGAAACCGAGGCTCAGGATTGAAGGGTCTTCCCAAGGTCAACCCGGGAAGCAAAGAGGTCCGACTCAGAAACCAAGTCTGCCTGTGCTAGAAACACTGTTTCTGATCACGACTTGAAACTTCCATGAGGCTGGGCTCTTCCTTCCTGCACAGACTCTGCCCTGAGCGCTGAGGTCCACCCCGCGGACGCCCTTGCAGAGGGGCTGGGAGTCGGGCCACAGGGAGTGGAGCCCATGGGCGCAGCAGAGCCCTGCAGGCGGAGAGCGGAGAGAGGCCCCTCGGGAGCGGCTGGAACTGGGCTTCTTCCCTGTCAGCTGCGCCTCCTGGTTTCTGAGGCTTCCTCGATTTTTAGAAAGTGCTCGTGCTTAGCCAATGGCTGGAAAACGGCCAGGTGGGATGCGCCGGAGACGCCTGCGTGCAGCTTCCTGGAAAGACCTCGCGGTGGAGAGCTGGTGGCCCGGGCTGAGGCAGGGAGGGCGTCCTCGCAGGTGTCACCGGTGTCCTGCGTCTCTGGTATCCGGGACGCCCCAGGCCAGTCCTTGCTCCGCACCCACCAGGGTGAGGGCGCAGTGCTCCGGCAACATGGACAAGGCTCAGGGAGGCCTCTCGGACGCGCAGCCGGACATAGGAGGAGCTGCGGCAGAAGCTGCCTGCTGCTGTCACCCTGCCAACCCCACACGGACGACGGCTCTGCCCAGAGATCTCGACCGGTACTCAGCCCCTCTCGGGGATCCCAGGCAGAAGTCCCCGTCTCCACAGTAACGTGGTCCCAAGCGCCGGCCCGGTTCACGCCCACACTGCCTTGCACCACCTCGCGTGGGTGGAGGGAGGCGATTTTCCCAGCCGGTGCCTCGATGTTCAGAATTCAGAGCACGCGCACGTTATTCTAAAGGGTACCGCAGTAGTCTGAGTCTCACACCTGCACCCGTCTGTGTAAACATGCCTGCGTGTTTGCCTGGGACGTTACTCCGAACGGCCAGCTCGAGGGACACGTGTACTTCTGAAGCTCACAGAATTGCTTCCTGACGTTGTGTTTTGTTGTGCCGGGGGCACCACACGTGGGGCCGTGTGTGCCAGGCTCTGCCACAGACTGTGCTGCAGCCTCGGGGGTCGTCTCTGGTTTGTGGACGCACAACACCACATTCTCCCCGATAATGCGAATTTCTTGCAAGCAGACATCCACCGACGCTTACCTATACTTAAACCAAGTCAGATTCCAAAGGTAGTGATTAACCCGACCACTCGCGCCAGGGCTACGACGGGAGGGGGCTGACCCTGCCAGCAGCAGGGAAGGTGACTGCGTACCGTGAAGGCTGCACCCGACCCTCCACATGATCGGGGCGCTCGAGGAGCCCAGGGGAACGGGGGGTGCTCACCCACGGGAGCTGAGCTCTTCTGGGACACAAGGTGTGAAGGGGGCAAGGAGCCAAGTGGGCAGAGCAGAGAATGGCCGAGGTGCTCCTCGAGCCCTAACTGACGTCACCAGGCAGTGCTGCACCAGGCAGGTTCCCGGGCTTTTCCATGTTCGTCACTGACACGGCCGGCCAGGCACTCTCTGGGGGGAGGGATGGGGCCCCAGCTCCGGCCGTGACGACCAAAAATATGTCCAGACACGGTCCGCTGTCCCTCCAGGGGCAGAAGCCTAATTGTACCTCCAGGGAATTCTGATCACTATACCACCACTGCTCCCTGTCCTGAAAATGATTTTTCCTAGGTCTCACAACCCAACTGGCCCCTCGTTTTTATATGAAGGGTAAGTTCGCCAAACGCACTGAGTCACGGGTCCCCCACTCTAAAAAGAATCGGCTCCTGGGAAGAAGCTTCGAAGTAAAAATGCAATGTCCCCCTTCCCGGGGAGGTACAGAAACGGGAAGCTGCTGTTTAGAGCGTTACGGTTTATGAAACGTTTTCACCCTTGACTTCACGGAGTGCTCACATACGGAGTGCAGCCTTCCAAACTGTCCCCGCCCCGAAGGGAAGCTGTGCTCAGGGACGTGGCTGTCCCTGACCATGAGGGGCTCTGTGCAGAGGGGAGACCTGGCCGCGTCTCACTCCCGGAGAGGTCGGGAGTGGGGAGCTGCGTGGCTCCCGGCCCCGGGTGGGTTCACCGGGACGACACCACTTAGGGTCACAGGGACACACAAGATGATAGGCTGAGGGTACCTACTGCCCATGACACCGCCAAACCCGCGGCAGAAACTTGCTGTCAAGGGAAAGACACACGAACCACGGGAGCACTTTATTCTACGCACGCCTCGCACAGCCTCGGGCGCGTTGCCGGGGGACAGAGGCAACTGCGCACGAGTTCACGTTTGTGCTCACAGAGTTTTTTGAAAAAGCGTGCTAAGATCTTTTACTTATTCTAAACCGCTCTAGAAAATTGGTAAAATAGATGACTGTCTACGCTGAGAGTAAACAGCATAAAATTACACAGGCAATAACTAGGTCAAGGACACACAGCTACGCAGAAACCAAGTCAAACTGAAAATTAAGTTCTTTGTCTCACTAGGTAGCTGCTCCGCCCGCTTCCACGGCCAGCACCACTGTCCAGGTACAGATACCGCTTGTCTAATAAACAGAAGTATCTTTGACTGTGCGTGTATTTTGCTGTTTTAGTACTAACTGATTGCCTTTCTTCAGAAATTTTAGTGGTAATGTCTTCTATTTAAGAAGTATGAATTTGTGTGACTCAAAGCTAAAAAGCACTCCCTTCAAGAAAACAAATTTCACATCCACGAGACTATCGTACTCTTGGCTTTAGAGTTGACCCCCCACCAGGTGTAGTGGTGCAGGCCTATAATCCCAGCACTTTGGGAAGCTGAGGCAGGCAGATCGAAAATCTGAGCCCCGCCCGGGCACCTTAGTAATTTAAGGAGACCCTCTTTCATAGCAAAGGGCTGGGGTTGTTGCTCAGTGCCAAAACCCCACAAAATTCCCAGGCCTGAAAACAGAGCTGACTCGTAACAGATCCTCTGCAATTCCCTGAGCTCAGCAGACTCCGTACCCAGACAACAGCTGACCCTCCCGACCGAGCTCCACAGCGACAACACAGGCGCGTGGGGTGGGCAGGGGCTGGGACTTTCGTGACAGCAGAACCGGAGTTAAGGATGACCTGTGTGCGGAGGGGGTTTTATCCCACACGACACACGTGCAGTCACAAAGCACGCACACTGCACACGCATGTGCGAGCAGCTCAGCTCCGGGCGCACGGCCGCGGGAGGGCGGGGCCTTACTCCATCATGCTGGGCGGGAGCGTGCAGCAGTCCTGGATGGCGGTGAGCGGGGACGTCAGGTGCGCCGTGTAGGACGCCTCCACGACTTGCTTGTTGCGATTCACCACGTCCAGGTATCGGCTGAACTTCTCGCGGATCTTTTTGGCTAGCTGTGGGGCGACAGTGAGCAACATCAGTGCCAAGCCTGACGCAGCAACCCATAATACTTCTCCTAGTCAACTAATGAATGTGTGCCTCAGGCTGCATACACTGAACCTCAGGTAAGCCCAAAGCACACCCGAGTCTTCTTCCACTGTGAGGCGAAAATGATTAAGACTAAAAGTGCCCAGTGTAGCTGGGCGTGGGGGTGCACACCTGTAATCCCAGCATTGTGGGAAGCTGAGGCAGGAGAATTCCAAGTTTTAGCCAGCCTGAGGACATCCTTAAAAGAATTAGCGAGACCCTGTTTACAAAAAGAGGCCCTGCTGAAGAAAGGCAGAAGTTGAGGATGTACTTCAACGTTAAGGCCGTGCGATCCACCTCAGTACAAAAAAAACCACCAAAACAGGAAAGCCTAAGGCCCAGTCAATGGACAGCAATAAAACAGTATCTTCTGGTTTCCAACAGAAAACGACACATCATGAATTTCTCACGTACCCCAAATTCAAACGGAATGACAGCTTTCGATTAAAGCCCTTGCTGGGAAAAGAAAAACGAACACTTCTGCTGTTATTAATGGCCAGCGTGCCAGGGTCCCAAGCAAGAAATGCATGACGTCTCCTCACTGTGGTCCTGGGCTCGAACAGGTTTTCGGGGTGGGGGTGGGGAGCACGTGCAGGAAGGGGAGGACTTCCAGCCTGGGGGTGGGGACTCCCCGCGACAGCCCTCCAGGGTGGACACTGTGGACGTGCAGGAAGCGGGGTACAGCCAGGAGCTCGCTGCTCTCTGGCCACCGCGCCAGCTTTCCTGCGGGAGTCGTGGCGGCCGTCGGGAGTGCCCTGCTTTCCTCTGAGGCACCTGCCAAATGCCACAGCTTAGCTCAGTCCCCTGGGAAGCACTGCCGTCTCCCTTCCCCAGACGCAATGGCCGCGGGGAGCACAGCTCACTGGGTTTGTGCAGCCTGGAATTTGAAATGCACCGGAGGGGAGCTAACTGTGACCACAGGCCACACGGCCCGCACCAACTGACCACTTCTGGGCTGAGAACGGAAGTCGCTCAGAATGCCTTCATTTGTTATTTTCAAACCAATTTTTAAAAAAAAATTATTTATTTTGGTACTGGGAATCGAACTCAGGACCTGGTGCTTGCCAGGCAGGCGCTGTGCCACTGAGCTATGTCCCTGGCTGCTCAAACCAATTTTTAAATCTTATCTGTCCTCCAGGGAAATTCTAGGGGCTTTCAGAGCCTTAATCAAAGAAACTGGGGTTCTTTGGGCTTCCTAAACACTGTACAAATAATGAAGTTTGCAGAAAGTTCCAGAGGTCAAGTTTAATCTGACAGTGATTGCTGGGGTCCGGCCCACCATTCCCAAGGTGGAGCTGTGTGTCCAGAAGGTAATGGGTCCACTGACACTCGGCCCTGGAGCTAGAGCTCCTACTGAGATACACGCGCCACTGCGGTACGGTGCACAAATAGCTGGATTCCACTGGAGATTTCGCCTGACAAGAGACATCAGCCTATGGTGGGAGGTGGTTCTGTCATAACGTGGTAGAAATGGGTACAGAGCGGGCAGGTAGGGGGTCGGGGTGTCCCTAAACATGACACCAAGCAGGGCAGCTCCTGGGAACCCAGAAGCATTTGGCCCCCAAAGGTCAGTCAAGCCACAGCTGAGAAACCCTGATGCAGAGAAAAAGCAAAGATAATGACCTCAATGTGTAATTCAGCCGACAGGTCCTGGACCGTTCTACCTCCCTTCTCCACCCATTCAAAATGGTACTTGAACATGGAAAAGGTCTAACAAACTCCAACTTTACAGACTTCTGTTTTGTTCTTTGTCATTCCTTCCCCAAGGCAACATAGAAGCAGTGAGTGGATGCCTCTAGTTCTTAGAAATGTAGTCCAGGTGCGCACCTCTAATCTCAGCACTCTGGAGGCTGAGGCAGGAAGATCACAGATTGAACCCAGCCCAGAAAACTCAGTAACTTAGCCAGACCTTGTCTCAAAATGAAAAATGACAAAAAGGCTGGGGATGTAGCTGAGTTCAAAGGCTCTTGAGTGCAACCCCCAGTACTGCAATAAACAAACAAACAAACAAGATGAAATAAAACTTGGTCCAAGGACTGAGCTAGGACTGCTCCCTCATCCTCCCTACATCTGCGGCTGGGTGTGTGCAGCAGCAGAGTCTCCAGTGACGGGCAGTGCAGGAAGCGAGGAAGCAGGTGCAGCCGGAAAGCCCGACGTGTGCTCCCCCGGTGTCCACGTCCCCACTTGCTACGCTCTAACGCACTGTCTGTGCTCCAGTGTAGATGTCCCCTGAGGCCTCGTGCCCTCTCAGGTGGGGCTTCTGCAAGACCATTGGATGGTGGGGCTGAAGTTGACTTCCTGTTAAGAGGCGGGGCCAGGCGCTCACGTCCCCCTCCCTGGCTCCTCCTTTCTCTCTCTGCTTCCTATCGGCCATGCGGTGAGCAGCAGCCCTCTGCGTGCCCCGTGCACCACACCTGCCCACCTTGGAGCAGCCAACCATGGACTGAGCCCTCTGCAAACTGAGCCAAAATAACCCTTCCTCCTTTCACTTGTGGTGCGGGGTATTGTGTCCACATCTGAGAAAGAGTAAGACACTGTGGCTGACCTCTGGTTATGTTTTTGTTTGCCTACTCGTCTTTGGCACCTACTGCACTGCTGGGCATTCTAGGTATAGAGAAAATATTTAATAGTAAACAAAGAAATGAACTCGCTCCTGAGCGTCAGCAACCTTACCTTTTGGTCTTACGACCAACAGCCTCTTCAAAGTGCAGGCCGTTTGTTTACTTATTTACTTATGGTGCCGGAGATCAAACCCAGGGCCTTGCGCATGGGAGGCAAGTGCTCTACCGCTGAGTTGCACCCTCAGCCTGGAATATTTATTTTGAAAATATACAATGCATTCTAGGAATGCCAGCAGGAAGTGCATTTTATCTGTCCTTTGTAGGCTCTGAGTTCCGGTAAAAATAAATCTCACTGATTTTCCCTGGGAAGTGTAAACAGGCTGACCCATCACTACAGAATAAATGCTCTGGAACAGAACAAACACAAGATTGGGATTTCCATATTATATCATCACCAGTTCATGCTAAAATAAACAAGAAACTTGGATTCATTTCTGTCTTTCACCAACTCACATGTAGTCTTAATGTTTAACTCCACCTGAGAAATATCCCAGGGTTTCGAACATTAAAAAGGCTGGTACTGTAATCTGATCCACTGCCCTCCTGCCCTCCCGGCCTCCTTTCCTTCCTTTTTTGAGGCAGAGTCTCTCTGTGTAGCTCAGGCTGGCCTTGAACTCATGGAGATCCTCCTGCCTCAGCCTCCTGAGTGCTGGGATTACAGGCATGCACCACCACGCGACTCTACTTCCTGTTTGTGTACAGGCCACTGTTGTATCCATAAATGTTTATTTTTAAAGAAGAATAATATCTTATATACTCAGTAATTACGTGAAATTCAAATTTCAGTTTTCACAAATAAAGGCTGGGATGCAGTCCTGTGGTCACATGCTGACATGGCTGCTCCCACTCTTCTAGGGCAGAGGCAAGCAGCTGCAACGAGGCGACCGGCCTGCCCTGTGCTCTGTGGAAGTGTGGCCGGGGGCTCTGCCTCGCCCCAGGTGGGGACTCGACTCCGGGAGGGAGGATACAGAAACTGCGGCAGACGCTGTAACTGGCCCTTTCCCCCGCTGCCGCCGTCAGAGTGGCCTTTGCGGGCTGCGGCTCAGGGCGCGTGCAGAGAGCGGCCCTGCTGTGTTCCCCCCAGGGTTGGGTCCTAAAAGCCCTGCACGCCGCCCTGTCAGGCTCCGGATGACTCTGTCCCTGCTGTGTCACCCGGGGCCCGAACACCACAGACAGAGCTGAGCCGGGCTGGCAGGGGGCTGCCCCAAACCCGGTCCCCAGAATCCGCAGCGCCCCCTGCTGGGGCGCGCGCACGTCGGGAGCCGGTTCTGCGCGACCAGGACGGGCTGGGCTGCGGTCCGGGCGAGCTTGGCCATTCTGAGCGACACCCGGCTGCTCAGCTGGAGGCGCCACGCCTGAACCATCGGAGCCGAAACGACCCGGCCCCGCGGGCAGTACGCCTGTCTCGGAGCGGTGCCAGGCTCTTCAGAAAACTCTGCCGGCTGCCACGCAAGGTCTAGCCGACAAGGACCCTGCCGCCAGGCTGTCTCATGTCGTGTCACCAGGCAGAGGACGAGCCAAAGCGGCAGGTGGAGGACCGATGTCTGCAAAACTCATGCATCCACCTGCTGGGCTCCGGGGCCCCAAACCTAAGGATACGAGGTACGAGGGCAGGTGAACCTCATGGACCGGGGACCCAGAAAGGGAGAGGCGGGTGGAGGGCTCCTTTCCTTCAATGAATATATTCTGCTCTTATCCTCCTAAAATCATTCTTCGAATTTAGAGAACACGAACTCGTCCCAGATATCACTCAGGTTGGGAGTTTTTATTTTCCTGTATCAGTATCACCTGCATACGCTAACTGTGGCATCAGTTCCATTGAAAAAGGTCTCTAAATGTCAGCTTGAAACCTAGGGAGACAGCAGGGTGAAGGTGGTGTTTTTTCTAAGAGAAGTACACTTCAGGAAGCAGTGGTTTCTTGGAGATTCTCAGCTGTCACGGGGTCATAGGGCGATGGTAACCCCCCGCTCCCTGGGAAGAGGCTGAGGCACAGCAGGCGAGGGGCCCCCAGCCGGGACGCAGTCTCTACACAACCCCCTCCCTCGGCTGTCCGCATCCCAAAGCCCCTCAGCAGCATCCCACCCACACCGGATCTCCTGGAGCCCAGACACCAGAGTCGACCCTGCCAAGCCTGCCTCGCTGACGCAGTGACACACAGACCCTCGCCAGAGGCCGACTCTGGGGCTGCTCCCCAGGCGGGGGACAAGGACTTCTCCACAGAGAGCCACAGGTGGCTTCACAGCCCTCTGCCGAGTCATTAAGAACGTTTTTCTCTCCACAGCCCAGCTTTCATCTCTCCCCTCCTT